GGATAGGCTTCCATGTCCTTGTCTGGAAACGACTGAGTCGATTCCCACCACTAATGTGCCTGTAGCCGCCATTAGGACTCTGGCAACATCTTGGAATTGGGAAATGGATTCGAGGGCAGCCCACTTAGGAAATTTGTTACGGTTGCATCATTTCTTTGACAGAGGAGAGTGAAGGTTTTGTCATGTAGTACTTATCAGTACATGTACATTTATGTACATGTCATGTAACCTTAATCATCTCCTTAATGGGAGCATTGGAATTTTATATCAGGAAATTTCACGGTGCTCTTGTCGTTGTACAGTAACAAAGAGTGAAGCTTTTGTTTAATATGTATTACTTGTCAGTATTCATATAGCTTACATCATCTCCCTAAATGTGAGTATGTCATTTCAAATCAGGAAATTTGTGCGGTCACTTTTGTCACTATTTCGAGATTGGAGAGAGTGAAGGCTTGTTTCGTAGAACTTCTCATCAACCTTTACTCATCTTCTGAGAGCTTGTCATTTCTTTTGAATTTATTCCCTGATTTGTTGCTCAAAACAGAAATGAGATATCTCCGCAAATTTCAACCGCACTCCCTTTAGAAGACTTGGGGAAAACAGAAAAATGTACTAATGTTAAAGTAAGGCAGAACCTAGCTTTCATGGCAATGTATAGGAGAGTACACAGTACATGTAGTAGACTTTGATCATCTCTTGTGAATATGTCAATTTTTACAAAGTTATTACCTCCTTGTTTGCTCAAACAGGAATATCAGCATTTCCTGAAATTCAACCCTACACCCTTTGAAGACCTGAGAAGCAAACCAGATAAAGTGTTTACATTAAGTGCATTTACACTCCAAGCAAAAACCATCATTTTGTCCACATTCTGCAGTTTTGCCGGCAGTTGCTAGGCAATTTCCCATAAACACACAAAAAAACCTGAATTGAATAACCTGTTGGTTTTTGCAGAATTAATGCTTGCTCTCAAAACATTGATGAATTAGTCTGTTTTTTGCTCACATGACTCTCCTTGCTTTCGCATGCAAAGCAGTAACAAGTCGTGCATAATTTGCACAACTCGCCTCAAAATCAGAATTAGCAAACACCAATGGACTTCGGGGTTTCTCCAGTAGTGAACATGGTAGTTCTCCTTTTTTTTTTTTTTTTTAAATGTTTCTTTTTTCTGCAATGTAAATGGGCCAATTTGAAGAACCTTTTATAGCAAAGAGAGTCTGCATACAGGTACTTCAGTCATAGTTTGTCCCATGACTTTCTGCATTGTTCAACCCTTGCACGGGCCTAGGACACATGTACCCCAAAAATCTAGGTCCAGACCCCCTCCCCCCCCCCCCCCACACACAAAAAATAAATAATAATAATAATAATAAAATGAATAAATAAATAAAAATCAAATCAAATATTTACATAGGGATCTTCTTCTTCTTCTTCCTTTTGAGTACAGACCTCTTTACAGAGTATTATCGTACTATACTGGGGTTGTGTGCAGGGGGACCACTACACCGGGGTTTCCCCCTACTCTTGCAAATAGATTCATAAAATCTCAAGCTATACCCCCCCCCCCCCCCCTTCACATGAAGTTAGTGTGGAGTCTTGCTCTCTACCTTCTAACTTTATCTAAGGCAATTTGTTCAGATATATTTACAAATCCAATATGCAGTATGCTCTATACTGATTCTGCTAATAGGCCATTTTCATATTGTAATCAAATTTAATGCATAAATCTTTTTTAAAATGTAAGTGCCTCATTACAAATGATTTCGTTTATTTGTTACAAATAATTGTATTACGATGGCGAGAATGCGAATTGCATACAATGTACATGGCATGTTGTTAGATAGCGCAAGCCATCATTTATGTCCTTCCTAGCAGCAACTAATGCAATTTGTATTCTGACTACCGGTATTGAAATACATTTTATGTAACAGGTAAATGAAATCATTTGTAAAAATGAGGGCATTTAACAAAGACTTAAGTGCATTAAATTTGATTATATTTCAAAAATGGTCTATTGTTAGTTGATGTGAAGTTATCAGTCGTCACTATACTACAGTGTGTCCCCCAAAAAACTATACACTTTTGAAATGGCTGCCAAATAAAAAAATATATGATTCTGGGGGAAAAGTTTTATATGTTTGGAAAGCTCATAAACTCAACTTTTATATGACACCAAAAAGTCCGAACATAATTCATGCTTGGTGAGCACTGCTCACTTTGGTAAAGGGTATGAAAATTAGGTTGCGCAGTAATTAGCCTTCCAATTTGTGAGAGGTAAATCCTTAGGAGCTTACAGAATTGAGAGTGATATTTTTTTGGGGACGCACTGTATACAGTGTAGCTCTGAACGTGGGCAATGAAGAATCACTCCTCCATAGCTAGGCCTATGCCATTCCATACATATCTGTGGGTAGTCAACCCTGGAACATGCAGACCCTATTTTGTTCCTTTTATTCACTATAATAAAAAAAAAAAAACATCAAAAGATCCCCCCCCCCTTTCTCCCTCCACTGTCCCTCTTCATCATCTTTTATAGCACTAGAGATGTTAATAGACCGAGGGTTATGTGGGTTTTGTTGTTGTTGTTTTTTTCTTCACAATGTTGTCTTGTATCACAAAATTGCTTAAAAAAACATCGGATAACTGACAAATTACGAAAAACGATTATATGTAGTTTGCTTCATATATGTACATGTATGTATAAAGCCTTAGATGCGTTTTAAAATAGATCTGACTTAATTAAACCAAATCTTAACGTTATGAAGCTATCAATATGGTTCGTTTGCATTTTCTGTAGAATACAGTGCTGGGAGCAATGTAAAAAATATAAAATGATTTATACAATACATTTATGAGGAAATACATTAGAAACAGAACTCATGCCAAGATATAGGAGCAAGGTAAGGAGACCTGTGTGATTACCTGAATAGGAAAATTGGGTCATTTCCTTAACTCACAATTCTTGGAAATATGTGCTAATTAAAACTGGAATATTTTACTTGCTTCCTTATTAGTCATCTGTAATTTCGTAGACCTTATAAATGCATATCACAACATCACCAATAGGAAATATGCATGGTACTTTTATAGACAGGCAGACATTACTTTTTGCCAATACCTGGAGCATTGTCTGAAAAATACCACTAAATAAAATATAAACCAAACAAACAAAAAAAAACCAAAAAAAGAGCATTCACACCACATAGTAAATAGAGCTGTCAAAATAGTTTGTTATGACTTTTCAGTCATGGAATGTGCATTACTTTTGCTGGTATAGTTGGGCTGTGCATTCTTCTTCCTTTGAAGACTGTGGGGCTGCTATACCTGCTTTGCATACATTGTAACAATACCAGTGGTTGCCAGTGCATTTTACAACTTTTCACTTATGGCCCTGCCCCTTATTCTGATGTTCTGCTCACTCAAATGGCTGCAAAATCCTAACAAATATGGTATATTTTAAAGAGAAATGAATATACCTTATAATGATACTAATTACAAAACAAAGCGATAAATATCCCATGACAAGTGATATATTCTTGATCAAACCCGAGTTACCATACTTATTTTGAGGGGTTTAGAAAGGAAATCAGTCTACAAACAAGGAGATAGCTGATAGGACAGTGTCATATATATATTATATTCTCTCCTAGCATACCACAAGGTATTATGAAAACAGTGCGGTCATTTGTCGCCAGTCAATCATTACAAATGGGCTCCTTGCATTCTGTGTGGTTTTCCAAACCAGAGAACGCTGATTTGCAGGTGGCAAGGGAGACTATTTGACTTTGTGTTTTCTCATTTCTACATCTCCCCCTTCATCCTAACAGTAAGGGCGCGTTCATGCTTGATTTTGAAGGCAGAATGTGCGATTTGTAACGCTCATCGTAAACGCTCATCGTAATCGCAGTTCCACGGTGCACTGTTCATGCTCACTTCTCCAGGCAATTCTCCTTGGGTGGCCTTCAGCTGGATTCGCAAACCTGTGTGCGCATGCTACGTAGACCCACTAGAGGTCAGTGCGTTGACCCCATTTAAACGCGTTTACAAATTGTAAACGCATCTTTTTGTGAGTTTACGATCGGCGATCGTGATCGCCGTTTTTCGGTGATTCTACTAAAGTGAGCATGAACGCAATCGTGTTTTAAACTAAACGCGTAACAGATGCCTGATTCTGGCCGTCAAAATCAAGCATGAACGCGCCCTAAGTCTAAGATCTATCACTTTTTTCATCCTTGTAGAGGAGGATAAAAGCCTAATCTTTAAAAACCCCTTCATTAAATTAAATTTGTAGGGTTACAGACCTGTTGCATTGCAATCTTTAAATATAAATCATTTAAAGTTACTCATGCATGGGTATATAGAGGGCAGCACAATGAGCATACTAGTGTCCTTTTATGCGTACGTCCGTATGGGAGAGTAATACTCGTTGGCTTAGTGTTCGCCAATTGCCTACTTCACGTATGACTATACCCATGCATGAACATCTTTATTTAAATGATGTGCCTCATTGAGCTTTGCCTATCGCTTTCAACGTATTACACCTGTTTTCATTTCCCAGGTAAACTCATATTTTTAAAACCCTATAGTCCATGATCTACCAGCTCTACTAAAAGCCTACTATGTAATGGAACTTTGGGGTTCCAGACTATTAGTGTTGAGTTTCCTTTGAATTGGAATCATTAAAATGATCATTTGTCTCCTAACTCTTTGTAAATCACTTTCAATGTGGACTAGTGGATAAGTCACCCGACTGCAGATCACAAGGCACGGGGTTCATTCCCGCGGCGGCACTAATGTCCTTTGGCAAGACCTTAATCTACATTTGCCACTCTCCACCCTGGTGTAAATGGGTACTGGTACCTGATATGCTTGAGCGCTAGTTACTTTGGCAGCTCGGCTACGACCAGGGTAATACATGTATAGCGCCATGAGCATCAGAACCGACAGATACCGGCACTATATAAATAACCATATTATTATCATTTATTTTCATTGTCCAGATAAACTCATAAGTGAGGATGCCAAGACTCTGGATGATGTCAAATCCATGATCTACCAGCTCTACTCCACCCTCCATGTGGAGGAGCATCAGCTGGAGAAGGAGAAGGTCTTGAGAGGCAAGCTGGAGCTACTCCAGGAAGAGCTGGATCCTTTAGAACGGGTAAGAAGAAAGAAAAAAGGAGAAGAGTTGTGAACCTTACACAGCCTCAAAGTTGAGCTGAAAGGAGACTGATCACCCCAAAATAAAGAGATGAAATTAAAAATTGTATTTAATGGTCTACATTGTATCCTCTTTGGGTTATCTATCAATGCAGTACTCCAGGAAGAGCTGGATCCTTTAGAATGGGTAAGATAGAAAGAAATAGGGAGAAGAGCTGTGAGCCTTTAACAGAGCCTGGAGTTCGAGCTTAAGTCTGCACTAGTTTGGCCAGGAGGGATTAGACCACCCAGCATGGTCACTGACAGGTGGCTATCTCATCAAATCAACTCTCAATTAACATAAGAAAAAGGGGATCATGGGGGACCAACAGGTACCGCTTAGGCATCGTTTTCTATATAGAGGGAGCAAGTAGCTACAAGTAGTGCAGACAGGCTTTAAAGGGTTCTGATCGCTAAATAAAAATAGATTGAATTCAAAAATTGCATCGTATGGTCTACATTGTGGATCCTCTTGGGGTTAATCTGTCAATGCAGTAACCTTTTATGTGGATCCCAGAATTTAAAACATTTTTTACCCCCTTAAAATTAGTCATTTGGCATCTTCTGTGCCTGAGAGGGATAAGCGAACTTAGCTCTCTGGTCTCTGCCAGTGTAACTGATAAGGATATGCAGGTGTATCACTGCACTGGGGTTCAACCTCCCCCCCCCCCCCCCCCCCCCCCCAATGTGAAAGCCAAAGTTCTACAATGTATTGGAATACCAATTGAAATTTGAATGATAGAATTTCAAAATAAATATGAGCACAAGGAAAGACAAGTGTTGGGGTTGCATAAGAAGATTAATATAATGGCATATAAGAAAACACTTTTTGCATACATACACTGTCCAAGTAATTAAAGATGCAACAGATGATCTAGAAACCTTCTGCTGTTAAAATCATATCTAATTTTTTTTTATTCCAGCTTAAAATGGACCTTGATATGAAAGCCAAGAAGAACACCAATGCTTATGTCTGGGGTGGTCTTGGTTTCATGGCCGTCCAGTTTGGACTTCTCGCCCGCCTGACATGGTGGGAGTACTCCTGGGATATCGTAGAACCTATCACCTACTTCGTCACCTACGGAACGGCAATCGCTGCCTACTCCTACTACGTAGTTACCCGTCAAGTGAGTATGCCATTTAACCTCTAACTAATATCCCCAGCTGTGAGCCAGAAAGATTTTAACCCACACACGTTTACCAATGATTAATGCTTCTTTGGGCTGTCAGTATTAGCTACGCCTACTGCATGTACATGTTTATAGTTAGTAGTGAAGTAAGTATACACTTTAACCCATCACTTTACCCAGGGCTCAGCATTAACAATCGCCGGGACACATGGGCGCCCACATCTAAGTCTGGATGCCCAAAATTTGAACATTTTCATATAGGGCACATGTATACCAACTCATAAAAGATCATTCCAGACCCCCTTTAAAAAAGAGTAGGTGTGGATCCCTTCTTTACCATGTAAGCAAGGGTCATTTGCACAAGGGCTTTACTTTCTTTGGTTTTTGTAAATTGTTGTAAGGTTATGAATTCAACAACGCTTAAAAAAATGAGCTGGCATCACATATATGCAACCATATATTCTAAATGACCTGTGTTAAGTATTGCAATAACAACATCTCATGGAAATAACTGTGTCCCTGTCGTCTGCGGAATTGCAATAGCTGCTGACACCTACTACATACATTTAGTCAATTTTCAAGTGGTTTTTTTTAAGTGGCAATTAAAGCTCCAGGGGGGAACCCACTATTTTCCAGGGCGTTGTGATACTTCAGTTATTGGCTTATTAATTATTCCAGGAAATAGAATTATATCGCAAAGTGATACACACCAAAAAGGGAACCTCCCCACGTTTCCAATATTAATGTGTTAGGAGAAATCCATACACAGTAAAAAAAAAGATTAAAAATTAAAAACCTCAGGGAATATATGTACCTGTATGTCTACACAAGTTTTTGACAGATTAACTCTGTTTGCCTTTGAAAAACTAGGTTTATTGGCGATTTACTGAGTTTATCTGACAAAAAAACTGAGTTTATCACTTTATTGGGCTTTGGGTTTGCAATACACGGGAGTCACCTTAGACTTCACAGTAAGACCGAAGAAAACCCACAAGACGCAAAGGGCAAGTGAGCATGAACCAAAACTTTAAGCTGTCGGCATTTAACAGAAGAACTTAAAAACCAGAATCTATGAATGAGCCTACTTTGTGAAAGGTTCCTCTGTATTTCTGGATGACATTATTCCCCTGTTGTTCTTTTGTTCATCTCCACCTTTCTTCTCCTCATTAAAATTTGATTAACACCATGCTGTTGTGATAACCCTGTGAGCCCTGTGATGATACTTTCTCCGAGCTTCATTTCGTCAAAGGTACCTGCATACAAGTTAGGCCAGCAATTAGAGTAGCAATTGGGAATTTGGTTAGTGTTACAAAATGACAGAGAGAGAGAGAGAGAGAGAGAGAGAGAGAGCAATGCAAATAGACAGCAAGGGAATCAAAACATACTTAACAAATTGAAATACTAGAAAGAAAACCTGCAAGATGACCTGTAGGATGAGAAAGAAAATCTCTGGAGCAATTGCTAGAGGGTTTGTCATAGAAGCAGATCAGTAAACATCTACATGTACATGATATCCATTCATATTTCACATGCAGGAATTCCTCTATCCCGATGCGAAGGATCGCAAGTACCTAGTCCTGTTTCACAAGTTCTCCAAGAGGAAAAGCCTGGATCTAGAGAAGTACAACCAGCTCAAACACGACGTTGCTCAGGTAAATGCCGAAAGATATATCAACTTCTGGTACTGATTTTTAAAAAGACTGATCCTCAAATCTACATATGAAGAGCTTAATTCCAAAAGGAGCTAAATCCAAAATTGAGTTATTGATATCAGAACATTGTTCACCAAGTACCCGATTTTCAACAAAATTATTTACCTAAATTTGGGGAGCAATTATGAAAAATTGCACCTTCTAATATCACTTTTCCATAGACGCCTGTACAAAATCTGGTAAACAATTTTTTTTCTTCTTCTGAAGTAACAAAAATAGATTTGGCTCCTTTTGGAATTAAACTCTTCATATGTGTAAATTGATAGAATCTGCCAAGTGATTCACCAATAAAATAGTTCAAGTAATAAGCAAAAGATTACAAATTCCATGAAATACTTCTCCCTGCCTTGTTGTCTCTATGTACATATTTTCAGGGGATTTCCCAGAAAGTTGCTAGACAACTTGTGAAGCACACTGTGCATATCATTCCTAACATATTTTTTGTTAATGCAGTGCATAGGATGTTATTACAACTACTCTGAAATTGAACAGATTTTCTGCTTTTCATTTTTTTTTAAATAATAGATGCCACATTGCAAACATTAAGGGTACATAAACCACAATTAAAACCATAATTAGTCTGGCAATGCCAGGCAGTTCGAGCCAACCCCCGTAACGTCTGCGCAACCTTTCACATAGACACCTAATGATATCTGATGAACGCCTGTCCATGGCAGTGAGACACATTGTGGCTAGTAAATTTAATTACCTCTCCTGATGACTAGGCCAAGGCTGGAACAATCAATAGTGCTTTTTGGGCAATTGACAGCTTGCGGTGTGTGGGGGAGCCCCTGTTCACACTTTCAGATGTCGCAGTTGCTGGAAGATTTTTCTCCAGATGATCCTCACAATGCAAAGAAAAATTCTGATTTGAACATATTTCAAGTGAATTTTATAGCCTATCTGCACTTTGGTCAGGAGGGATTAGACCTCCCTGCATGGTCACTGACAGGTGGTTATCTCATCAACTCAGCTCTCAATTAACATAAGAAAAAGGGGACCATGGGGGACCAATGGTCACCGCTTAAACATTATTTGATATATAGAGGGCGCAAGTAGCTATATGTAGTGCAGTGGGGCTTTAAAGGGTGTTGCTCTTGTGTGATTGGCATCAGCAGCATAGATTTGTCAATTTTTAATTGATCTGGATATTTTTGATACAGAAGGATATGGAAAGTACAAATCATTGGAATGATGACTTCTAGATAATTCAGAGAATTGCTCATCATATGGATAATAATGTTTTGAAGAAGCTTTGGGAAAAGTGCAAATTGTTTGGAAGATAATGTTCTTAATGTTTGGAGAAAGACCTCATCATATACATGTAAATCATGATGTTCCAGGAAGATGATGATGATAATGTTCCCCGAAATTTTTGAGAAATAAAAGAAATAACGTTGATAGTAATATTCTATAATCTTTGAGGAAATGCAAATCATACAGATAATAATGTTCTCAAAAGTTTGGGAAAGTGCAGATTATCTGGATGATAATTTTTCTGAAAGACTTAGGATGTGCTAATCATGTAGTTAGATGATAATATTCTGGAAAGTTTTGGGAAAGGCAATCGCACCCACCTCTAACGATAATTATGATAGACATTCTCTCTATTGTCTCTCGGCACCCATCAAACTGTGAAGGCCTGGCCCTGCTAATTCTTTATGGCATCAATCAAATTCCAAGTATCTTGTGTTGGTTTTGAGTTATGCAATCAAATCAATGCATCATAAACTGACCTAATTTGCTTGGTATGCCAAAGAGCACCAAATGAATTGATTCCTGCAATGGAACCAAAACAGAGACACTTCCCCTGTAATATCGTTTCAGGTTTTATAGAACAGATTTTGCACACAAAGGAGAGGGAGGATAACCAGATATTAAATGCAATCACTGCTTGCATTGTTGATTGATTGCACATGAAACAGTAGAACCAGGCTCAGTTAAAGTACATATGACAGACATACCTTACACTTGTGTTTGCTTGATAGGAGTGTCTCCTTCTTTAATATGTTTGTTAATATGCTCTTCAAAATTATGTCATTTAATATGTATTCATTACTGGCATATTACTTAAAGCTCATCAGTACTAGTAAACAGGAGGGATTAGACCACGCTGCAAGGTCACTGGACAGGTGGTTATCTCATCAACTCAGATCTCAATTAACATAAGAAAAAGAGGATCATGGGGGACCAATGGTCACCGATTATGCATTGTTTGTTATATAGAGGCGCGAGTAGCTAGTGCAGTGGGCCTTTAAGTAATTTGTTGATATTGTCATTACATTTAAGTGCTCATTAGACCAATAGATAAGTAGGCGAAATGATTATTAGACTATGTGGAAAGTAGACGGTTCTGGGTGTAGACCAAAGGCAATTTACCGATACAAGAAGGAATACAGGTAAGTGTGTCTTGACTCTCAAATTTCGAGCATTGAAGTTTTAACCTTGCATCTTGAATTATTGTTTTTTTTTAACTCCAGGTGAATGCTGACCTCCAGCGGCTACGTGATCCTTTGACCATCAACCTTCCCATCCCTCCTCCTCCCAGGGAAAAGGCAGAAGAAGAGGACTTTTGAGTTACCATGGAAACGCACAAGTTAATCGTACCCTAGACCAAAATTATGTATATCATATAAATATCTACATACGATTCTCCAGCCTGTTGATTTGAAATACTGCTCCAAAGAATATTAGTTTCATGGTGGGGAAAATAGTAAGGATACCGCCCTGTTTGTCTCTATAGTTTCATATATTACATGTAGATGTTTTACGTTAATAATTTGGAAATAATCACAAGCTAGCTCTAATTGTGTGGGAAAAGCTTTGGTGATCGTCTTGTTTTGGGCTCATGATATAACTAACTTTATGTAATAATGTGTGTTTGGTAAAGATTGGGAAAAGATAATCAGTAGACCAACTGAATTATTGAATAAAGTATTCATTTTTTAAATTCGGAGCACTTCAGATATGAAAATGGCATGTATTGGTTGTTTGTAAATTTAGCGGAGAGTTGAAAAAGGCAAACGAGCTTGTCAGTTTTCCTGTAAAATCAAAAAAAATTAGACAAATTATGAAAAATGCTGCTGGAGTGGTATTGAATATGCCCTGTAGTATTTGCTTTAATTGTAAATATTTGGCTTTTTTGAAATTAAAGAGTTAATTTAAATTTATAAGCATAATTTCAGCTGCCTTTTTATTTCATGAGTACTCACATATTGTTAGGAAATCGTTTTAGTTGTTTACAAAATACATGTGGGGGGTTTATGAAACCAATGTTACAGTCAGGGAACGATTTGTGTATTTGTATGATTTATATTTTAGATTAAGCAAAGGATAGAAAATTGTGTACTACCTCCCATGGCAGTTTCTACTTAGAGAAAAAATTATAGAGGCATTTTTGTTTTCATATGTAATCTGATTTTAGAAGTTTTTTGTTGATTTATAGCAGATTTCCTTTCAGCCGAGTCAGATTTTGTTGTTGTCATTCTTTTGTGAGATCACAATGGTATTCAATTATACTCTTGTCTTCTCTTTTAACTGAAGTATTCCTGTTTGTCTGTCAGTCTTGATAAAGCTATCTATAGATAACAGTCACCCAACTCATATGTTGCTATGTCCGGCCAATGTTCAGGCAGGCTTATGATTCGGGACAAGTGTCGTGTGGAAAAGATGTATTTCTGATTGCCAGCATTAATCTATAGATAACAAACACTTAACTTATTTGTTGCTATGTCCAGCTAGTCTTCAGGCAGGCATCCAGGACAAGTTTTGTGTAAAAAAGGATTTATTTCTGATTACCAGTACAGGCATGCATGCAGAGCCCTTGAGTTATACAATGAAATGCATGTTTTGGAAATGTACATAGGAAAATAGGGTTTGTAATTAATTTGTATAAAATTAAAAAAAAAAATTCTTTATATGGAAAGAATAGAGTGAGTAGAAATCTAATTGCTGCTGATAAAATTATTGTTATTACATATGTATAATCTATTAGCAGGTATTTATATAGAATATGTCAGATTTAATAAATTGCCTAAATTTCATTTAAAAGATGGTGCAAGGAGATGGTTGCAGGAATCTTACAACTCTACGTGTAGATTTTCATTCTGTGGATTTGCATGCTTGTGAAACTTTTTACCAGAGCAGACATGTCTAAAGCAATACAGTATTGATATTTCAGAACAGAAATCTCCAAGGTACTATCAACTATCCAACAGAAAAATGGAAGATGATGCATGATGGAATCTTCAACTGCTTGACAAACATACCAGAAATTTTCTTTGAAATTCTTTGATTTGTTTTGTTAAAGGAGAATATACCTCCTCCTTATTTAGTTTTCCTAGTGCATTTGACAAAGTTATATTGCATTTCAAGCAAAATACCATTTTAGTATAACCTTCGCTACTGTTAACCATCTATTCCTGCATAATTTTAATAGGTTTTTGTCAAACTTTTCTTCTTTTAGCCTCCACTATTGATAAATTGTACCTTTAAGAATATATTTGTGACCGTGTTTCATATTGAACCAGCTCAAAATAAGCCTGGAAGGTACAGCATCTATTGACCAATGGCTCGTAAGAGGCCACAACACCGGTCAGCCCACAAGACCAGTGCCCCTTGAGATCTACAGTTGTGGACTTGTGGTCTTTCTGGCCGTCCAACGATTCATCTGAGGGTTCACAAGCCAGATAGACCAGGGAGGTGTTTCATAAAGATCTTAAGTTGAACTTATCTCTAAGTTGGACTTAACAATCATGGAAAGTTGTTAGCATCTTTGAAAATAATTGGTAAAAGTTATTTTAAAAGGCATAAAATGTTGATTCAAAGCATTCATATTTTCTATCATCTTGGGAGATTTCATGTTCTTGATGTGGAATTTATGAAAGTCTAAAATACTTTAAATTTTTGCTTTTGAATATGTTTTATTTTAAGGCTACAAATGGCTCTCCATAATTTTCAAGTCAACTTAGAGTTAATTTTGACTTATATCTTTGTGAAACACCCCCCCCCCCCCTCCCCAGGAGGCTTTGGTCTTGGTTCACTCTTGTCAATTATTCTGAAAGTTTATCAATATTTTTGGTCTCATGGGTCTGACGGTCTCATGGACTAACAGCCAACTGGTATTGCGCAAGTCTGATGGGCTGTATAGACCGAGGGGATAAGTAGTGATTACGAGAAGGAAACAAAAAATAATAATTAAGAAGAAAACAAGTCGGAAAACAAGTAGTACAGTGTCTTTCTGCACGTAACACTGCACATACCTTTAATACAAGGTATGTCTGTATATAATTCATTATGTACATGTAGATGGATAGAAAGTGAATGACAACGACTTGTATTTATGATGAGAGTAGAAATAATTTTCTTCATGTCTTTTATATCAAATGACTGAATATAAACCATTTTATATCAAATTAATAAATACCAACTAAGTTGCATGCATCATAAATTCTCTTTTCTGACTGATTTATGAAAACTTTCCTAACAAGGATGAATATTTTGATGCTACTACCAGGTAAACAAAAGTAACGGGAAATGTACATTGAAAATTTCAACAAAATCTTTTATTAACAAAAACATTAATTTTATGTGATGTTATGTTTTGTTGTAATTGGTTGGGGAGGGAGAAATTATTTATTTAATTATATTTCTTTTTGCAGACAGCTTCTACCAGTACTAACAAATGATTTACACTTAGGCATCTGTTTAAGCCTATATATATATCTAAGAGAAAGGTCGATTTCTAATGATTTTAACCTGCTAGGTTAAAGCATGGTTAAGAGTCAAGTTTAAACAAAGGAAATTTGATTCAGGTGTAAGCTATTTTTTTGCTAAACATTTCTGCTTCCCAGCATTGGTTTTAATTTAATAACTAGATTAACTATATTACCTGCATGAAGTTCTGGTTATTGACATGCTGTATATAGATTTAAACAAGAGAGGGCACCATACAGTTCAGCGAAAAATGGTTGACAAGTTTTTGAATTGATTTATTACTGTTATTAAAGTTGTCTAGACATGCTAATCGATGTAACGGGAAGGATCGGCTATTGGATTGGATTGATATACATTATAGAATTTCCTCTTTTTTTTCCTTCATATCACATGTATTCGATAAACCAGCACAATAATAGTAATTCTTTAGTAGTTGGTGCCATTTAAATGATGTGAAGCTTTAGTGGTAGTATTTAGCTATTTAAATGAATGTTAAATGTCTAAAAAGGTGAAAGTAAGAAGATACGGGTGGTGAAATTCGAAGAGATTTCTGTGAAAATATTTTATCTATAAGGATAGCTATTATTTCAAAGTTATGCATAGTATCATATGATGTGAATAAAATTCATATTTTTGTTCAAACTTCCTTAAACTGTTAAACTTTCTGGGATGTATAATCTTCCATTGGCATACAAGTTACTAAACAATGCAACTACGTTCAAAACCTCTTCAAAATTTAAAAAATTCTATTTCAAGATGATTGTCATATCTTTTGACAAGTATTGATGATGCCAATTTCTTGGTTATCAGTGTTCCTATAGTAGACAATATTATTTGATGAATCAACCCCTTTTATCTATCTCTCCCTCTCTCTCTCTCTTTCTGTCTGTCTTTCTCTCTGCCTCTCACTATCTCTGTCTCCCTCTCCCTCTCCCTCTCTCTCTCTCTTTTATTCTCATTCTCTCTCTCTCTCTCTCTCTCTCTCTCTCTCTCCCTCCCTAGCTCTCTCATCCCGTCCCGTTTCCCCTCCTCTCTCCCCCGTCCCTTCTCTCCCTCTTTATCTTGGTGTCAAGACATTGAACTCTTCCTTGCAAGTATTAAAGAAAGGTACTAATATTGCACTGGTTGTTTGTTTTCCTCCCTGTTCCTGAAGAACTATGTTTTGAAAAGTACTGATTGTATTATTTTTATGTCACCTATATGTTAGAGTACTTTTGATTCTATTATTCAAATTCATTCACTTTATTGATGTTACTTTGAACTATTTAACTTTTCATCAATTAGTTCACTTCAGAATATAGTTTATGAAATAGCTGATATCATAGAAACACATTATTATATCGATAGAAAGTGTTATAGGGATTAGATAGTAAATTATTCAATTATCATATTATTTAGAGGATGCAGGATTTGTATGCATGTGTTCTAAATGCCTTTATTTTTAGTCATGTGGGAAAATAACAATAGTGAATATTAATTTCATATCACTATCTTCAGTTGGTTCATTTTGTTGTACTACTTTTTGAAAACCACAATATTGACATATAATTATTATAACTTTACAGTAAACTTTAGGATTTAACCCAGTGAGTCTCATCCCAGTAGTGATTTTTTTTTGTGTGAAACAAATATAAAATTCTAGAATAACAATATACCGTTTGCCTTTCATAAAGCAAGATCTGCATGTGTGTTTGCTTGCAGTTGATGCAACTACCCTTATTTCTGCTTTGAATATATATTTGCATGTGCCTTATGTTGACTTCTTTAGTATGCTTACATGTACATCTTTTTTCACATGACTTTGTCAATAAATTAAAGTTTTGTTGCACTTTTATTGCCGAGACTTGACTAGACAAGACAACAAATATTTGTATATTAAAGCCTACCCTAGGTAGCTTCCTCAACATCTCTTTATTTACGGCTTGTTGACGCCTTTTGCAAGGTTTAGCTTCATATTTGTTATTCATGTTCACCATAGCTCTGTACTTGTTTGCTTTGTCCTTTGCTTTGTCTGATCAATATGTTTGTGTCCAAAAACTAAGAATTAAGTGATTAGATAAAGAATATGATAGATTTGTTCTTCTTTTCTTGTATACATTTCTGATTGAAATAAATTAAACTATATGTGTATATGAACAGTATATGATATTGAATAGCTTGAGGTGTTTATTTAGAAGAATATAATGATACAATACATTTTTTCTAGGCTACCTTATGTACAGTATATAAGATTGCAAAGCTAGTTCTTTTGCTTAAGTTATATGTTTAAAAGGAAGGTAGAATTGTGGGAAAGGTTAACATAATTTGTTAGCATTTTCATTCATAATATGCTACAGTGGAAGAATATTGTAGAAGAAAATTTCCCTTGAAAAGGATGGCTCTTCAGATTGCCCTCATATTCAAAATATGACAAGAAATAACCAGAGTGTTTGAATCAAACTAAGTTCATGCTGCCTGTTTGTGTAGTCCCATACACACATGTCTGTGTCCAGAGCTTGTGACTGGGTCAATTTTCTATCATTTTGATGATTCCAAAACCTCACAGAATACACCAATACTTAGGTGCTACATGTACATTATCAACCTTTTCTTTCTCAATGCAATCTCATGACTCCAATTTATCTTTAGGGGAACTGTATTGGACTGAGTAGCGTTAAATGTTAAATGACCTTAATCTTAAAATAATCATCTTGTGAAACCAATTGTGGACCCAATATTTGAGTCCACTTCAGGTACTTTGGACCAATATTGGCCGCAAGATGCAAATATCTAAACCTTTTATAGATCATTGTAACTTGTATCATATATTCAAAATATTGACACAATGGTATGAAGCCATTGTATAGGTGTCATAGGTCAGTGACTTTACTATGGGATTAGAAAAGTGAAGGTCATCGGATTGAGGCCAGGCAATGCACTTGTATCCTTCAGCAAGGCATTTTATATAAATGGGTACCCATAGGATGCAAGTCTCTTGTGAGTTATGTGTGCATTGTATACATCTGTAAAATTGGTAACTGGGTCTGATTAATCCCTGGGGAGTGGGGAATATGCAAACATTGTGTTTGCATGCACAAGCCTTAATCTGATAACTAATGTAAAACCTATTTCTAAAGCATACCGTAAACTTAGAGCATCATGCAATAAGCACTTTATGAAGTCATGTCATTGCTATCACTATTA